AAATTTGAAACCCTACTAAATAACTTACTCCTTGACTTTACAGCCCACAAAGGGCAATGGCCTCCTGCACAATTCCAGTCCAGTTATCTTTGCTCTCCATCACCATGGTTCTCTATTCTCTGAACCCCATCTTCCATCAAACAGACTTGAAATCAGAAACAAAATCCTCTTCCACATCATCCATCAGACTTTTTAGGCCTGTACGCCTGATGGAATCCTCTTGATTTTCCACCAAATTTATTCCTGTGAGCCATATTTTCTGGAATCCTTGTTAAGTGCCCTAACCACCTCTATGTATCACCTTTACTTCAGATACTACATTTGGCATTTGTACACATCCCTGAGATTTATTTTCTTTCTAATTCGCCAGCTTCCTCCCACTTTTACAGGGTCAAACAGTCTTTTGCATCTTCCTCTTCCATTTTCTTTGAAGCTCCTTGTTTGATGCTATTCTTGTGCAGGATCCTGGGCCATAGACCATTACTGACTTTACCCCTGTACAGTAAATGATCAGTTATATTTTTTTACTGAGACTATGCTTTTAAAAAACCTAGCATTTTCTATTACCCACACTATTCTTTTTGTCAGTCTATTCTTATCACATTATTCTGCTCTGTAACCACTGATACAAAATACTAAAGCTCTGACAGTGTTTCTAATTGGCTCCATTCAATTGAACAATTCTACCTTTCCTGTTGTCTTTTTTCTGGATGAAAGCATATTGGTTATTGAACAATTCAGTGTCAAGTTTATCTCAGCTAAATTCATTCCAGTCTTATAAGACCATCCTTAAGTCCTTGCAGTCTTCAAGATGATATATCAAGGACATTAATATATGTTTCCACCCTCTACAACTAAGTGACGTAACACAGCTTACAGGGACTGATCTACTCATGGTTTTTCATCAGTTTTACCTTAGCTTTATCTTTTGGGGCCCTCTTCCTTTCTTTGCAGGACAGCATAGAAAAAAGGTATATTTAAAGATGGCACTTATTCACCACATGATAACTCTGTTGTTGGTGCAAAAAGAATATACAGTGCCTTGAAAAAGTATCCATACCCCTTGAAATTTTCCACTTTTTATCATGGTTTAACCAAAAACGTAAAATGTATTTTATTGGGATTTTATGTGATAGACCAACACAAAGTGGCACATAATTGTGGAGTGGAAGGAAAATGATAAATGGTTTTCAACATTTGTCACAAATATATGAAAAGTGTGGCGTGCATTTGTATTCAGCCCCCTTTACTCTGATACCCCTAACTAAAATCTAGTGCAACCAATTGCCTTCAGAAGACACCTAATTAGTAAATACCTGTGTGTAATTTAATCTCAGTATAAATACAGATGTTCGGTGAAGCTCTCAGATGTTCATTAGAGAACATTGGTGAAAACAGCATCATGAAGGGCAAGGAACACACCAGACAGGTCAGTGATAAAGTCATGGAGAAGTATAAAGCAGTTTTAGGTTATAAAAATATCCCAAACTTTGAACATCTCATGGAGCACTGTTCAATCAATCATCCAAAAATGGAAAGAGTATGGCACAACTGCAAACCTACCAAGACATGGCGTCCACCTAAACTGACAGGCCGGGCAAGGACAGCACTAATCAGAGAAGCAGCCAAGAGGCCCATGGTAACTCTGGAAGAACTGCAGAGATCCACAGCTCAGGTGGGAGAATCTGTCCACAGGACAACTATTAGTGGTGCACGCTACAAATCTGGCGTGCACCACTAATTAGGGAAGTGTGGCAAGAAGAAAGCCATTGTTGAAAGAAAGCCATAAGAAGTTCCGTTTGCAGTTTGCGAGAATCCATGTGGGAGACAAAACAAACATGTGGAAGAAGGTGCTCTGGTCAGATGAGACCAAAATTGAACTTCTTGGCCTAAAAGCAAAACACTGTGTGTGGTGGAAAACTAACACTGCACATCGCCCTGAACACACCATCCCCACCATGAAACGTAGTGGTGGTGGCAGCACCATATTGTGGGGATGCTTTTCTTCAGCAGGGACAGGCAAGCTGGTCAGAGTTGATGGGAAGATGGATGGAGCAAAATACAGGGCAATCCTTTAACAAAACCTGTTTGAGTCTGCAAAAAGACTTGAGACTTGGGAGGAGGTTCACCTTCCAGCTGGACAGCGAACCTAAAAATACAGCCAGAGCTACAATGGAATGATCTAGATCTAAGCATATTCATGTGTTAGAATGGCCGTCAAAGTCCAGACTTAAATCCAATAGAGAATCTGTGCAAGACTTGAAAATTGCTGTTCACAGACGCTCTTCATTCAATCTGACAGATGAAATGATCTAGATCTAAACATATTCATGTGCTAGAATGGCCCAGACCCAGAACGGCCATCAAAGTCCAGACCTAAATCCAATAGAGAATCTGTGGCAAGATTTGAAAATAACTGTTCACAGATGCTCTCCATCCAATCTGACAGAGCTTAAGCTATTTTGCAAAGAAGAAGGGCAAACATTTCACTCATCTAGATGTGCAAAGCTGGTAGAGACATACCCTAAAAGACTTGCAGCTGTAATTGCAGTGAAAGGTGGTTCTACAAAGTATTGACTCAGGGGGGCTGAATACAAATGCATGCAACACTTTTCAGATATTTGTAAAACATTTTGAAAACCAATAATCATTTTCTTACCACTTCACAATTATGTGCCACTTAGTGTTGGTCTATCACATAAAATCCCAATAAAATACATTTACGTTTTTGGTTGTAACATGACAAAATATGGAAAATTTCAAGGGGTATGAATACTTTTTAAAGGCACTGTATGTAAAAATATCAGCATGATTTTACACCAGTACCTACCTTAGTTTTGTTTTTAGATGCATTGTTTGACATAAAAACTAGTTATCTTCATCCTGCTTAGCTGCAAACCGGTTTGCAGCACTGGGATTTTTTTATATGTCCAAAACCATGTGGCACTAGACAGACTGTTATCTGAGCAAAAAGAATTTACACCAAAATTCAAAAATAGTAATCAGTATAGCATCTGGCATGGGCAAATGGCAATTGAAAAAAAAAAAAATTACATAGCCGTAAGGTGATATATCGTATGTTAACTGATAATATATATCCTGACTGAGCGCTTTCTTTAAAGTGGTAGTAAAGTCCTTTTTCCTAATTGATACCTAAAGGTAAGCCTGTAATAAGGCTTGCCTGTAGGTACAGTAAATATCTCCTAAACGTGTACCATTTAGTAGGTATTTACTTTAGTAGCGCAAGTGACTTCATCGGCATATGCAGACTGCACTCTCAAAGGATAGCATGCTGTCCATTGAGCGAGATGTGCCATGGGAGTGACATCATCTTAGCTCAGCCATTCAAATGGCCAGAGCCAGTGAACCCAGAAGGAAAATGGAAGCCCTGTCAGCAGTGACAGCGCAGCACTGGAGGGCTTTGTTTTAAGTCAAGTCTTTCACAATGTGCTAGTATGCGATGTATACTAGCACATTATGCTCTTAACTTGCAGAGAGAAAAGGTTTTTTTTGGGTTTTTTATGTGGTTTACTACTGCTACAATAATCAGCCTGACCAACTTAAGACCCATCTCCTTACTCCCATTTACCTCTAAACTTTTAAAACGCTTTGTCTACCTCACTGACAACCTTCTTGTCCCCTTACATTCTGGCTTTAGCTTACTACGCTCCACTGAAACTGCCCTACTAAAACTCACTAATGATTTACTAACTGATAAAACCAATGGACATTACTCCATACTCGTATTATTAGACCTTTTTGTGGCCTTTGATACTGTTGACCATCCCCTCCTCAAAAAATTCCACTTGGCCTTCAAGACTGTTTCCTCTTCTCCACTTCCTTTTTCTGCAGGAGTCCCCCAAGGCTGTGTCGTCTGACCCCTATTCTTCTCCATCTACACCTCCTCCTTTGGTTACTTGATAAACTCCCACGACTTTCAGTGCTATCTCTGAGCTGATGACACACAAATCTCTCTCTCTACTCCTCACCTATATCAGCATGTCAGCATGGATGTTGCACCACCAAACTCAATCTTTATAAAACTGAGCTCATAATATTCCCTCCTGCCTATGCCCCCTGCCCTGACATCTCTATCAAGATCAATAATACAACTATCAGTCCCTGCCCTCATGCCAAGGTAGTAGGTGTAATCCTGGACTCTGACCTGTTCTTTCAGCCCAAAATCCAATCACTGTCCAAATCTTGTAGACTTTATCTCCATAACATCTCCAAAATATGCCCCCTTTTTAACTGTTGAAACCACTAAAACAACTTACTCACTCCCTTGTCATCTCTCGCCTTGACTACTGTAACTCCCTCCTCATAGGCCTACCTCTTTGCAGTTTTTTCCCCTCTTTAGACTATCATGGATGCTGCTGCCAGACTCATCCAGCTTACCAACCATTTGGTGTCCACTGCCCCTCTGCCAATCCCTCCACTGGCTTCCCATTGCCCAACAAATAAAATTCAAAATATTAACAACACGCAAATCATTAACAACTCTGCCTCAAGCTACATCACCAATCTTGTCTTCAAATATCACCCAAACTGTCCTCTCCACTCCTCCCAAGACTTCCTCCTGCTCTCTAGCTCCCTTGTCTTCTCCTCCCATGCTCATTTCCAGGAATTCTCAGAGCCTCTTCCATCCACCGTAACTTCCTACCCCAATCTGTCTGGCTATCTATTACTTTGTCCACATTTAGGCAATACCTGAAAACTTATCTCTTCAGGTAAGCCTATCCTGCCTTCAGCTAACAACTGAATCTTTTATTTCTCCCATCAGTTCCTCCCTCACAGTTATTACCTTTTGTTCCACTAGCCCCTCCCTATTAGATTGTAAGCTCCCAAGAGCGGGGCCCTCCTAACTCTCTTGTATTGAATTGTATTGTTCTGTATTGCCTCCTTTTATATTGTAAAGTGCAGCACAAACTGTTGCGCTATATAAATCATACAAAATAATAATAATAACATAGTATATAAAAAGTGTTTTTCCCCCTTACTTGTTGGCAACAAAACGCATCACAGTCCAGTCTTTAGGAAACATTTCGGGTCTTATAAGTATCCGAAATACAGTAAAGATCTGCAGCAAAAAATCCTGTAATAAAAAACAGTTCACAGTCATAAAATGAAAACAGCATACAACAAATATAAATGGCTGTATTTGTATTTTGCACATTCACTGTAAATATAATAGACAATTAATACAAAATGTCTAGGGTATTTATCAATGTGAGAATACCCAGGAAAAGGATATTTAACATGAACTGTAAATTACTTTCGTATTATCTTCATTTACTATAGTCAGGATTTACAAAGGCTTTTACAAATATTTTTTCTTTTTTCAGTCATATTAACAATATTACATATGAATATTTAGTATTTTCAGTTCCAGTCAAAGGACATATCTATACTTAGCTACTTTACTGAACAAAAAAAAAAAAACAACAGTGCACAATAGCTCCAGCTAAAATGTACACACATAACCTAATGACCCTCTTGTCCCAAATAGTGTCTGCTGTGCTTTTTTTTTTTTTTTTTTTTTTTGTGTCAAAAGCACCCCTTACATTATAATATAGATTTTGTATAAACAGTGGAAAAAAATCTATAAAAACCCCCCCAAAAAGTATGGAACAAACCTAAAAAATGTTTATATGTTACATAGAGTGGGGATTGATTAGAACACCTGTCTGGTTTTTACAGCAATCTGGGGCTTCGTTAGAGAGATTTTCCCTTTCCACTTTCTGTCCCCAGTGAAAATGTTTTTTTTTTTACCAGACAAGAAAAATCTGCAACATGGACACAGAAATATAAAGATAACAAGGGTTCTATCCTTCACCCTACTCTACAGAACAAAAACAGTGTTTTTTCTGTTTATGCTGCTGGAGAGACCCCTTACATATTTTCTGGTAAAACATTGTCAACAGTCAACTGGTACAGAACTCCACAGGTCTTGCACGAGCGGTTTCCTTCAACTGCAGACTTGAGCTGGAGATATGGAGCTACACCTTGGAGACATTTTTTGGTCTAGTCCCTCCCTGCAATCTTTTTTGGGAAGACATTTACTGCTTTTCCCAAAGATTTACAGACCATGGATCAAGCAAATGGAGGACTTTATTGTCTATAGCAAAGGCACAAATAACAGATTTTGGCAAACCTGGTTTTATTGAATCGTGTTCAATTTTACACTTGAATATGAAGCCCTTAAAGTTGTGATTGAGACAGGAAATGAAGAACCATCTTTATTACCTTCCCTAACTCCGCTCTCTCTCCCCTCCCACCCTAATGACAAAACGTGTTGACGAGGAGTTTACAACGCTGATGTCACACCACTGCACGATTCCCGGGTCGGCAGAGGCCATCTATGTAAGCTGACAATTTTTTTGTTACACTTGATGCGAATTCTATAGATTTTTAATAAATACGAAACTATTGGAAGTTTATTTGCTCCTTGGTGAGCTTTATTTCACTACAGCCTGATCAGACACAGTGACACCTGCTGACACAGTTATTTGCCAGCCACAAGCACCTTTGGAATTTCTGTTTATACACAGGGGCGTTTAAGCTGTTGTAGTATCAGCCATCATTTCTGGTTAGTTTTCAATTCAGAGAGAGAAGGTGACAGCATTTGTAAATAATTTTGCTGCAATCAAGAGCACTTTATGATGGTGGACAGACATTTAAACTTTTTTTTTCACAGAAAATTTGATTTCATGGACGTTTTATCTATTTTGGTTTTTGCTATATGTTCTTTGTTTTATTAGCGACACTATTTCATGATTGACACTACATTTTATTTTATGCACAATGTTCTCTGAAAGGCACCCGTGCTGAGTAACCTTCTGTGTTTACTAAGCAGCAGGGTAGCCATTCAGCAGAGAACTTGGAAGATAGTGGCAATCCTGTAGTAGTGAGATGCCTACAACGATGATTTTCAGTTTTCGCAGGAATAGGCCAGGAAAGTCACGTGCAAATTACATTGGTCCAAGCTGGGCTAATGTAACTATACAAAAATATCCATACTTATGCATGAACCCAAATAAAGAACACACAAAAAAAAATGTCAGCAGGACAGGAAGTGAGGGGTAGATCTCTCTCAGATCAGATAACAATAAAACCCACCAGGGGTTGAATTCCTTCCTCACTCTAAAACTATGATAAAGTTTTTGGCTGTGGATACACTTCAGGCTGTCAAAAAAAAAAAAAAAAACTCTAATGACACCATATTCTGTGAAAGTGATCATTTTCAAGTGAAGCAACTTATAGCAACTAAATCATAGTCCAGAATGAACTAGTATAACAATAGAGTGTATTCCGATTGGCTGCACCTAAGAGTTATCACTCCTTCCATTAAATAAGACATAATGATACAAACCTGATGCGCACTAGGCACTCAACGACAGAGTTAAGCTAAAAGACTAGGGATCACCAAATTAAATGACAGTGGTAACTTGTCGACACTTATATTAATACTGCATGGACCAGCTTTCCTGTAGCTACAGAGGGTGTTGTGCCTCATTCTTCCAGGTCATTCTTGTTATAACAGGGCAAATGTTACAGGTCAATTGGAGGATCTTCTAGTCCGTTGGTGGTGTGTCAATCCAAGCCTGCTCCAAAAGTGTCAATGTATCAGGACTGTGCAGCTCAGTACAGATGTACATTCCTTGTTTCTATTACTAGCTCTCGGTCAAAGTCCACTGTCTAAAATTTGAAAGCATGATCATTTAACTCATGGGTGCCCAACTAGTGGCCTGTGGATCCCTCTGAGGTGGCCTGCCACCTCCTGCTCTGGGATGGCAAGTGGGCAAGCTCAGATCGCAAGTTGCCGACCCACCATCAGGGTATCAGTGTTGTCAATGGAATGGCACCAGAAGAAGCAAGGGCTGTGGACGGAGCAGGAGCTGCATAAGCTGATGCTGCCTCTATATTGCTGGCTCCTCTCCCAGGCAACGTGATATGGTATCACTCCGTCTGGGACAGGAGACAGCGATGCAGCCTTTTGCTTCCTCTGACACCACTTAAAGCCACTTGCTTTTATCCACAGCAATGAGGCCAGCGGTGATGCCAGCAGTGCCTTGCGAGGAGAGAGGGGGGGGGGGGAGAGAGAGAGAACAGATCTATTATATAAACAACGGTATTGAAATGTGTATGGTCAGCCTATATGACTTAGCACAAACCATGGACGGTCATTGTACTCTGTAATCTGCACACAGTCTTCCAGTTGGGGAAGAATCCGACATGATTTGGATTTATTTAGTTCACATTTCTTTTTTTCTTTTATTAGCTGGTTACATACCGAGGCTGATATTTCAGGAGGGGAGTAAAACTAGTTCTTGCACAAAACTGCTCTATGTAATTGTCTATAGCCAAAAAGTGATGCAATCATCATAAAATCCAATCATATTCAGGAATGTGATGGTGAGGAAGAATAGAAAGAATTCCCAATCTGACACAATTTTATTCTACTGGATTTGTTCTGGTTGTCTGTTTTTCTGGCGGACCCGATCGGACCCTCCTTCCACCCTATGGAGTAGCGAATGTAAATGGACTTGTGTCCGTTTACACCTGCCCACCTCCAATTCAATCTGCTAAAAAAAAAAACAAAAAAAACAAAGCGCATCCATCACCCTCTATTTGCGTGGATTGGAGGACCCACAGAGCAGAACAAGCTGTGTCCGTGTCCACTCTGCATATGGTGAGTGGACATGGACCTGTTATCCAGTCACTCCACTCTGCTCAGCAGGGAGTCAATTGACAGATCTCCAGCTGGGCAAGCAGACTTAGCCCCATGTGAAAGGGGCATTATAGGGGGCTCAGGACAGTAAGGGCTCATTTACAGTTGTAGTGTAGTGTCATGGTGCCCGTGTGGCTTCCCTGTCACATTCTGTTTTACACTTGGACAGAATGGGTTTGGGGGGGGGGGGGGGCAGTATATACAGAAACCGATCCTCTCCATTTTCCTCCTGCAACCGCTGAAAGCCGGCTTCTCCTCCTCTCCCTCCTACTGGAGGGTTCATTATGCTATTCAAAATAAAAAAAATGTCATTTCATTGTGGCCCACGATTGGTTACTAAATCACTTAAGTGGTCCTCGCTCTTCAAAAGGTAGCACACCCCTGATTTAATTTAATACTTTGACAGATTTACAATGTTCTACACAATTTTCACTAGAACAGCAACAGATTTAGGCACTGTTACTGATCATCTGAAATTAGATAATTAAAAAAAAAATTATGTCATCTGCAGCAATGGTCAAAGTGGTTTTCTAAAATACCAACATGAGTTTGAAAGTCATGACAACAACATATAGATTTAAGATCTGCCATCACATTTAAAAAGTGATCGGCTGATGTCTTGAAGACATCTATTAAAGAGAAACTGTACAGTAACAAGAGGCATCATAGAGGTTTTATTGCCTGCTCAAATTTTGTCAGTCTGACAAGCTACTAAAATAGGAGCAAGTCTGTAAATAAATAATATGCTGGGAGGACAAATCTTCATATTGACCTATTTAAGAATAATCCCTTTTATGTAAGATGCTCAAATCTGCATGACATTTCCATTCAACAAGACAGCACACATCCAACATAATTTACAGAAGCAATCTGTAAATATGAAAGACTATAATTTGCGATTATCCCAGCATCTCAAGTCGGTGTCATCATATAGGTAAAGAAGTAAACATCATTGGGGTTGTAATCTTATCATGACTATGCTAAATAAAGGGAATTCTTAATAAAACACCTAAGTTACAGATTTGTTTTGTCAGCGTAGTTTTGTTTTCTCCCTGAGGATTATGCCTAAATCAGATTTCTGGATGGTGTCACCAGTGATTCTTTTCCTCTTCCTTCCTGTCTGTATGACTTCCTCATGCCCTCACACACTCCACTTTTACCCCTCTATTCCCCATCCTGTTGTGGTATGCTGACTCTCTCCAACCCCTTCCTGCTCTTTGTTGGCACTTTTGTAAGAGAGCTCTCTCTCTGCACATCCCCCCCCCCCCCCAGTCTACAATGCCTATGCCCTAAAGTTCCCTTAGAGTATGGAGCAGGCAATTCCTCTTACACATCCCCACCCTCCTTCCCCTCTTGCCTATGCCACCCCAGCCATCTTTCTGTGGCTCAGTGGCCATATCTGCAATTCCTTGGCAAGGGAGGAGGCTGCAGAGATCTGGGGAAAACAGCTTTGCTCAGTTTGCAGCTGTCTCCTACTCACACTTCTGTAGTGCAGAACATCCGGGGAACAGAAGTACAAGGATCACAACAGGGGCCAGAAGTACAGAGCTATGTTTGTTGCTCCCAGCAGATGTAGCTTTGATCCCTCACCCTACTACTGTCACAAAGGCACAGCTGTATCATCCATCACCACCTCTCCCCCACTCCTCTTCCTGTACATAGTGCCCACTATCTTACCCTCCGTTCTCCTCTGCTGCACATATTGGCTGCTCCAATACCTTCTGCATGCTCCTATACCTGCTCTACTCCTCTCTTGGACATGCTACTCATGGTTATACTCTGTGAAATTCTCTCCTAAACATGCTACTCGTGGCAATACCTCCACACTTCTCTCCTAAACATACTGCCCGGTGTGCACAATTATTAGAAAAGTAAGTACTTTGACTAAATCATCATTTTTATGCAAATTGTCCAACTCCAAGCTATGCCAAATTATATGGTTCAGATCCCATTGATGTAGACTCGGCGGAGGAATTTCTGGATCATGTTTCCCTTCCAAAGGCAGACTATGCATCTCTGGCCTTGCTTAATTCCCCTGATCACAGCCCAGGATATGGCAAAAGCAATCTCAACCCTAGCCAATGGCAAGGCCCCTGGCCCTGACAGCTATATGTCAGAATTCTACAAACTGTCCACAAACACAGTTATTCCTACACTAGTTTTGGTATGTTAGGGAATTCAGGAGTGGGGGCAATACCTACTATCTGGTTTCTAGGCCCACATAAAGTTAGTTGCCAAAAAAAAAAGGCAAAGACCCTAAGGAACCAGACTCTTATCGCTCAATATCGCTGTTAAATTTAGACTGCAAGATAGTATGGAAGATAATTGTCAAAAGACTGGCAGTAATCATGCCATCTCTAATATGCCTGAGGCAGTGGATCGATACTGGTGAGCTATAACACTACATACTTGTGCCTTTGTCACAAAAGAGTTCTGGCAGAGCAGCAGTTCAACCAGTGTCCCCATAGCAAGCAGCATCCTATTGGGTGCACTTGTCTAGGGGAAGGAGCCTGGAATGCTAGCAGGGGACCCGAGAAAAGGATTGGAGTTGTTATTTTTTTTAAAAAAATGAACCTTTAAAATGACTTAACTTAAAATTACTTCACACCCTGTTCACATCAGGTGTGACTTAGCATGCAATTTGCATGCCATGAAAATTGTATGCCAAGTCGCACCCTATTCTCCGCTATTACAGCGGTCATATCGGTGCGGTTCCGACTTGGTTTCTAAAGTAGTGCATATACTACTACTTTTGTTGTGATTTGCATAGACATCTGTGTCAGATGTCTTGCAAATCGCAACTGAAATCGGCACGTCACCCGATTTTGAAATCAAGCGACTTCACTGTAAGTCACAGGATTTCAAAATCGGCTTTGATGAGACTGGGGCTAAAGGTCTTGTACTATAGAAAAGCACCACAAAGTATTTACATGTCTAAATTGTGATGAAAAAAATTGATACTTACAGTACATAACTTTGCTCTTGCTTTGACATTTATTTATTTATTTATTTTTAGGAAATGACAATCAGAAATTCAGCCATCTGTTGGCAAAATGCTGCTGCTGACTAAACCTCCAAACATACATATCCAATTCAATTCTAGCTACCAATTTACAGAATAGGTTAGAAATATGAACACTTGGTATGCTATTGCCTTAATTTCCTATTATCCTATTTTGTGCACATAACAGTTTTCTGTTACACATAACAGTTTCTGTACAGATTTTCCTTTATAGTCACCTGCATTAAACCAGAAGAAATTAAGCCAAAAAAAAGAGTACACTACTATATAGTCATTACATATATTCAAAATGAAAATGGCATGAAAAATTGTAACAGGTATAAAAGGTGATGGCTAGTGTATGGACTGATCAAAAGAAGCTGTGGCCACATGCGTTGAGCAGGTGGATTTGACAGCTTATAGCACTGACCTTAGTCATAAGGTTGTAAAAAATCAAAACAACCCCCCTACAATATATAAGTCAAAAGGCATACCCTTAGCTCGTCCTTTGTGTTGAAGCTCTCAAGAAGTTGTTGGTAATGTCTGTCTGTCATTTGTCTCAACAGAGAGAGCAAAGATGCCACAAACTCCCCCTAAAATGAAAATAAATAAATAAATGCGAGAACAATCATGCATAGCCATCAGACAATATTAATTAAGGATGAATATAATACTTTATTTGACATAAGATCCTCATTAACAATAACAATAATCAGAAAATATTTGGCAATAAATTGTCAAAAAACAGCACTGCACTACCGTGTCGTGGTTTAGTTACCCCACACTGCTTTGTTTTTGTAATTGTACTTGTTTTCATGCACTCTTGACTGGATGTGTGTGTTGCTAATTGTCTTTCTCACATTTCATGTTTATCTTAGCTTATTATGTCAATCTGTATTTCACAATAAACATTATTTTTTTGGAAAAAAAAAGTGATTAAGTGAAAAAAAAAAAAAACAGCACTGCCCTAAAAAATAAAAAACAGTATGATTCAAGAGTGAACGGAAAAAGAGAAAGAACAAAAGTTAAAAATCTGAAGGACTGCTGTAGGGCAATGCAAGAGTTTTTAAATAATACTACATGACAAGGAATTTGCCTAAATTAATGGGGCTTGGAAAGGAAATTAATGACAGTGCAATGTTGGGATTGCCATTTCAGCCATGACCATGTACCTCACAATGGCACTTACATAACTATTGCAAAGCTACTTCAGATGCTTAGAGTTCACAGGATAAAAACAGCAGTCTGATTGATTTGTCCAGTGCTCTTTGCACAGCTTTTGTCAATTGACATCTAATTCCAGTACTTACTACAAAGCTTTTGTAGCCTGACTGCGTGATCCAGGGCTTATTACACAGCAATTGAGGCTTAACTACTAGATCTGGTGTTTACTATACAGCTACTGTGGCTTATTACTCTCTGTTAAGCTAGCCATAGACAGATTGAAATTTGGATTTTGATCCATGTATGGGCAGGCAAGTTTTATTGAAGTCGATCTATCAATCAACTTCAATACAACCAGCCTGTCATTTTTCTCTCTAACAGCAGGGAAAGCTCCCACTCTCAGAATACAATAGTGCAGCTTGTGAGATTATCCCATCAGCACTGACTGTACTGATGGGGGAAATCAAACAATTTTATTTCCTGCAACTCATGGTTGAAGGAAAGAAAATTGTATAAAATATGGGCACCCTTACATTGCTATTAAGAAATCAAATTTACCATCAATGGAAGGAAGAGTGATTTGGAGGAGGGACACCCGGTGGAGCTGATGAGACCTGAGAGCAGGTCCCACCAGCTGACGAGCGAACTCTGCCTGCAGCACAAATGGTCCCATGTCAGGGAACTGTGCCGAAACTTTGTCAACACTCCAGCCTCACACTGGAATCAGATGCTTTAGGATAAAGCTTTAAATGTAGGCTTTTAACATGTAATCACTGTTTTGTTTAAATAGATGCTATAATGTAGTGATTGTTACCTCCACTCTCCTGAACATGGTGAAGGTCACAAATGTTTATACAATACAATACAAGTGCACTGCACCACCTCGCAATCAGTTTTAATTTAAAGATTCTAAATCGGTCCCTGAAAGATTAAAGTGTTACTAAGCCCAAAACAGTAAAATCAGTCTGTATATGCAGTAAAGTATGCTTGTTATACTCACTGTGGAACCTAAGGGGTTAATTCTGTGCACTGTGTAAAAAGGTCGTTTAACCCTGTTTTTTTTGCCCCTCCTCTTGTTCAAATATCCACGTGATAAGACAGACTGAACCTGTAGCCACATGCACATGCTCAGTTTAGTGTGTATTGTTAGAGAGGTTTTTTCTTTCTTGGGAGAGTGCATGTGATCAGCACAGGGCCAATCAGCACTGTCCAGACAGAGGGTCAGCGGTTCTGCATCCTCCTAGAGCAGAAAAGAAAACTCCTCCTACAAGATTTAACCAGTGCTTTGCTGAAGTCACAAGACTGCTCTACCTGCTGATGAGAAAAGGTATTTAGCAGTTTATGTTTACTAAAATAATTACACTTCCATGTTCTGTGTACTGTGGTAGACCTTGGTCCTGGGTTTAGTAACACTTGGAGGAAGAAGTTACATCAAAGTATCCAATCTACAATGAAAGCTTGGCAGGGAAAACATATAGGGAAGCCAATAATATTTATATCAAAGCTAAAGCTAAATCACTAGCTTTGATTGTAGTTATTTCGATAGATAGATAGATAGATAGAGATAGATAGATAGATACTCACCGGCCACTTTATTAGGTACACCTGTTCAATTGCTTAGTAACACAAATTGTTAAACAGCCGATCACATGGCAGCAGCTCAATGCATTTAGGTATCTACATGTGGTGGAGATAGCTTCAAACCGAAACCGAGCATCAGAATAGGGAAAGAAAGGGGATTTAAGTGACTTTGAACGTAGGCTGGTCTGAGTATTTAAAAAAAACTGCTGATCTACTGTGATTTTCACACACAACCATCTCTAGGGTTTACAGAGAATGGTCCAAAAGAGAGAAAATATCCAGTGAGCAGTAGTTGTTTGGATGAAAATGCCTTGTTGATGTCAGAGTTCAGAGGAGAATGGTCACAATTTCAACTGTGTCATTCAGATGGTAGGGTCAGAATTTGGCATAAAAAATATGCAAGCATGGATCCATCCTGCCTTGTATCAATGGTTCAGGCTAATGGTAGTAGTGTAATGGTGTGGGGGATATTTTCTTGGCACTACCAAGGTGTGCCTAACAAAGTGGCCAGTGTGTGTGTGTGTCTGTGTGTGTGTGTGTGTGTGTGTGTGTACACACATACATACACACACACTTTGTTATTATGATTAATTTAATAGAAGTTCAGCTTTATGTATGTAGCAATCTAAATTCTGTAAAACATGCAGGAGTGTTCACCATTTCATCTGTTTTTTACAAGAAACACATGGGGCACAAGACACTTCTGGTACAGAAATATTCAGTCACTGTAAAAAAAAAAAAAAAAATAGCATACTGAATTTCTACTGCCCAGGACAAAAACACTTACAGTCACATCTTGAAACTGTAGCCTCATTGCTGAGCCTGACTGCTGAGGTCGACTTGTAATCTCCAAAATTGTCCTCAGTAAAATGTCCAGCAGACTGTTAACAATCACATCAATTTCCTTCATGGCACACTTTTCCTAAAATACAGAAATATCTGCAGATGAATAACATGTAAAAGGCACTTGGTTTAAAAATTCTCACAGGTAATTTTAAATATGTGGTATTTATTCACCAATCAGTACTACAGAATGACGCATATGTGCACCATGTGGGTGTTAAAGCCCACCCTTCTGCTGGCGTACATATGTGTTGGGTGGTTGTAAATGGGTTAAACAGAGTTAGTGAGCTATATATTATGTAACTACAAAGCACTAGAGCAGCAAATCTAAAGGCCCCTTCTAAAACATTCTCCTACCAGAGTAGCTCATCTTAAATTATAATGTGTTATATGAATGGAATATTATTTTCATTTGTAGCCTTGATCAAGAAGGTTAACCTGAACAACATATTTTAGGGTCCATCATAAAAGGACCCCCTGCCCTTTGCTTTTTTATACAGCTGGGAGAGTTAACACCTTCAATATGGTCAAATGGTAGAGGCAAAGATGTAAAATACCACAGGGAAATATTGCATATAACTGTGTTTTTATTGCAAGAAGGTGGCAGGTAGAACAACCAGTAACATTCCCCCAAAACAACAAATCTGTTTTGAGTGGAGCCGATCTTAACATGAAATACAAGGCTTTAATATGGAACACAAGCCAAGTACAGTTTAAATACAAATAGGTTCACTGATTTACTCTTTTGGTCTGCTGTTCTTATCATGCTCCCATGCTGGTCCGAAAGATCTCTCTGCTATTTCCTGGTTGATCCCCCTGCTCAGTGGACAGAAGTAATGATTCTGATGAAAAGTCCAATAGACAGACTGGAGGTGGAAAGGTGATCTAGTAAGCTGTATTGCTGAACCAAGAAATATGGGGCTATGTAATAGGGCATGTGTATGTAAATCTTTCAAAACAGATTGGCTGTACAGGAAAACAAATCATTTGACAGGTAACCATATAGATTTCAACTTTCTATTTAGTGGTTTGCTGACAGTATTATTTTATTTATTTATTTCAGGTACTTCTTTAGCGTCATCAATTTACGCAGCGCTTTACATATATATTGTACATTCACATCAGTCCCTAACCCTCAAGGGGTGTACAATCTAAGGTCCCTAACTTACATTCATATATACATATACTACGGCCAATTTATACAGGATCCAATTAACCTACCAGCATGTCTTTGGAGTGTGGGAGGAAACTGGAGTAACCCAAAAGAAACCCACACAGGCACAGGGAGAACATGCAAACTCCAGGCAGGAGGTGCCGTGGCTTGGATTCGAACCAACAACCCTAGTACTGCCAGGTGGAAGTGCTAACCATTTAGCCACTGTGCTGCTAGTAGGACTTTATCTGTAACCAAGAAAAGTGGCACTGCACCAGGCATAGAAAACAGATTAGACCCAGAATGTAATCATAAATTCAAACCTTTGAAAGTTAATTTGTGATCAAAGATGAGGCCCAGCACCACAGTATGCTATTTTAAAAAAATGTGGAGGGGTAAAATAACAGCTCTACAGCTGCACGCCGAGCACCTGCAGTGCAGTTCTCCTATATATAGATCACTGTAGAACTGCTTTACAGTCTGTTTTGGATTACTGTTCAGCATGCTGTATGTTAATGTATATAATAAATGTCTTGCAATTACTTACTGAGCTGTTTTTCTTGCTTAGACAAAACATGTTGCTAAGGATACGTGCGCACATTACAAGATCTCTATGCTCCTGCAGATGCATGTGGAGGTGGTGGAGGACGATGGGGAGGAGTATAAAACGGGACTCTGAAATGACATACAGTATTTAAAATTATTACACAGGTCAGTTCTGGCATTCAGGAGGCTCAACATTATGTATTTAGTATTAATATACAGCCAAACATATTGAACACAGTCCATTACATCAACAACTATTGACATACTTAATATGACTGAGCAATGGTCATGTCTTGCTGTTGCTATGAAACAGATCATATTAAAAATAAGCACTGCACCACCGCAGACTGTACAGAATATTTATCCTTAGTATTGTAGCACATTTCTACAAATGAATCATGAGCCACGTTAATAACACAAAGTGCAACAATCAAATTCACTTAAAGGTGTTAATTTTTCCTCGATAACTAATGCTACAGCTATTTACTAAGGTTCTCTGGTTTATGAAAACCAACATAATGCTTCATTTGTTTCCATCCAAAATTATTTGTCTGTTTAAAGTAATTTTCTAGCAAAAAAAAATGCAGATTTTAACATGTATAAAAAATAATAAACATCATATGCTAAAATAGATAAGCCTGTACCCTGTATAATATTATTGGGGATTAAGCAGCTGCACCCCTTGCTGGCAAACATAATCAAAACTTCAAAGTCACACATTTTGTCCATGCTCTGCAGTGAACACCATCAAAGTACAGGACAGACATCAGTACAGAGCAACTGATCAGCAAGCCTCTCTGTGTACATCGAACAAAGAATAATCAGGGTCACAGTATCCCCAGGAATTGCGAATCTTCTCCCTCACTGCATTATGTGCACATAAAGCCTGTTACTGGTATCCTGTCAAATGTAAGGATAAACTATTTTAAAGCCCTTTACACATTGCAAATATGCAGCAATTAAAGTGTCTGTTTTTTTAATATATTCTCAAAGTTAATCAGGGATTACATATACAAAATATTGTTACAGACTTCTAGTATAATTACTTGCACTCCTCCCTATACACACACAGAAGACAGTGTGCAGATCTTGGCATGTGAAGCCAATAAATAGAAAAATGTCAGTTGCAGGGTGCCTACAGGCCCTGTGTGCTCTCCCTACATTTTGTATGCACATACTTCCAAAGTTCAGTTCCTCTCTGTAAGGAGACTGGCATATCGAACTGCAAAGCATTCAATTCTAGCAAGTTGCATGCTTTGCCTCCAGCAGGGAAATTCAGTGTTGTCCTGCCTGCAGTATTAAATTTGGCCACTATATGGATCCCAGAATAAATGTATTGTTTTAGAGAAATTATAGACTGTTAAAAAAAAAACTCTTTCAATCTAAGAAAAGGAAGTGGAGCTCAGACTCCATCTTAGAAACTGTGGGAGAAGGAAGCAGTCACTTTTCTCTGCATAACGTGTGCTGACTGAAACTACATCCCTTACAGGCAGCATTGCCAGTGAGCATGGATTTATTGCCATCTTCAGCCAATCGTTTCATTGTGTTTGAATGTTTCATACATTGATTGATGTACTTCTTATCTGTTTTTCCTAATAGTTACACTCTACCCTGTTTTGTTAATAAAGCTTAAAGATTGCATTCAGTCTGGCTTATAGCAGAATAGGAGGCTTTAGCTGCATATTGACCTACACACAGGGAAACATGTAGCGAGGACAGAACGTTGACAATATTTAAAGCAGAACTCCAGTCTGCAGCAATTTATATTGTTATACTCTAAATATTGTTAATTGATAAAAATAAATTATTGGCATCTCTAATTCTCAAAACATTCTTAATTTACAGCATTTTTTCCAAACCTGCCTAAAACGTTTGCACAGTACTGTAAATGAATAAATGCTGACCATTGTCAGCACCCCTGTCAGTAGGAAATGGTTTGTCTCAATATTGTAACTGCCACTTTTACTGGACAGCTTGGTTTGTTAACCTCCCTAGCGGTCTGATTATGTCAGTATTTCTGTGCTCGAGGCGGTACATTTTTTTGCATGGAAATATGTCGTTTTTTTATTATAGGTCTGTAATTTTTAGGAATAACTCACTGAAATCTGTCCGAACAAGAGTCTAGTAAACATCCCGGGTATGATAAAATTTGAAACACGAAATCATAAATTATAATTTAATAATTATAAAAAAAATAATAATATAATAATAAATGTAATTCAATAATATAATCAAACCAAAAACACTGAAATTTGAAATAGAGCGGCAAGTTCGCAGATCACTGATCTTAGTCGCAAAATTGTTTTCAGTGTCTGATGACGAATTTCCCCACGAATCATTATCACTCAATTCTGCAAGTGGTTCTAATTTACTATCACTGTTCTCTAGCTGTTCTAAAACCGCTTTTGACCTAAAGGGACGCTTTTTGGACACCATGGACATTTCTCAGTTTCCAGGCAGAAAGAACAGTAAAAATGCAGGCAGGGCACAGGACAAAGCACTAGAGACAAAATGTATGTGAAATGGTTTGAAACAGTAATGTAATACTATGTGATTTTAGTGTATTTAGTGAATGTTACTTTTTGACATTTTTAAATTTCCCGCTGATTCCGTCCCCCTTACGTCCCGACGTCTCAGGGAACGGAACCCAGAAGACAAATGCCGGCATCGGCCGGAGGACATTGCTGGGGACACTACAGGAAGGACATCGCGGGAGCGAAGGACAAGGTAAGTGCAGAAGGGATCCCGGAGCAACGCTGCAGGGTATTCCCGAGTGTAGCTTGGGGTTAAAGCTTTTGGTGCTGAAACTTTACCCTGAGATACACTCGGGAATACAACCAGGGAGGTTAAAGGAAGCTGAAAAATTAACAGGTCAAAAAAGCCTAAAAAAAAAAAAATTAAACTAATGTAGCCACCACATAGAAGAATTTGTAAGCTGCAATTTACAAATTATTCTTTTGGGTATAATACCGCTTTATTTTCCCAAATATTCATAGATCGGCCCTCCTTCTATTCTGTAGAGGATCACACAGTACCTGGATTTTAGTGATCAGTTACTGTATGATTCTCTACAGAAAGAACAAAGAAGCATGGAAATATAAAACATGACACAAAAAAAAAAAAAAGATTTATAAGATTTAGTTGGTTTGTATTTTGATTCCTAAATTTCTGTTATGCTTTAATCTATGCATGAACATTCGCTTGTTCCCAGTAATGCAGAGATTGTTATCTTTTTACCTGGATTGCTGTATAGCTCACTCTCCACTGTTTTAGCAATACACTGAAGTTTTATATCTTGAAGCGCATCATCTGCGTGCATGACTGTTGGCAAACTGCCCAGGGTATCATGCACCATTTTTGCCACTTCCCGAACATCAAACAGTTTCAGCAGCTCAGAGTAAACAGCTGGGAAAGAATTCAGAAACACAGCCTGGAGTGGTGGGAATGAAAGAACAGAGACAAAAAAAAATAAGCATCTCATAACTACTGCACACAGTTAAATTCTATGGTGTCTCATCCATGAAACCAGATCAGCTAAATAATTGTCTCAGAGCAAATTGTGCAATTTTGACTTAGAAGCTTACTTTAACTCTCCTCAACTTATAAGGGAAGAGTGAGGTCTTATTTACTCCCTTTTGATCTGTTAAATATCATATTAACAGTGCTTTGTTAGATCTGTTCAATAAGTGCAAAATAACGCCTGTTGATTAAGTCAGAAATTCAAACTGTCCTGTGCAAACTTTTTATTATCCCAAGGAGTGCTCCAAATTCTTATCAAGGACTACAGAATAATTACCTTCCGATAATTTACCATGTGCATATATTGCAGAGACATACTGCATGGTTTTTTTTCTTATCATTGTGCTAGGATATACATTCTGACGTGTACGTATAATTATTTCCTCCTCCAGGAAATAAGCAGACTCTCTCTGACATTAATAGAAATCCCATCTTTAAGAGGTTCTTCACCCTGTGTGAAAAAAATAAAAGTCAGCAGCTACGAATACTGTAGCTGCTGACTTTTAATAAAAGGACACTTACCTGTCCAGGGATGACTTCCTCTCCCGGGTTGGTTCTTTGTCAGCCTTTTGGGTCTCACAGTCTTCTAGGACCTATGAGGTGTCCCACAAGGTTGAGGGTAGGGTGGGGTGTGCAGTGCGTGTGTCAAAATCAGAAATCCCCTCTCCCCCCAATAAAAAAGTTCCAAGAGAAGAAGAGTAGTGGGAGAAAGGCATAAAGTGGAACGTCCCCTTTAGGGTGAAGTTCCACTTTAAAGAGCTGTCACAGGGGCCCCCCACTGGAAGAATTCCCCCCATCTCTTGCTCTAGTGACAACTGCATTTTTGGATCTCCTCTCATTTTCCATCTCAGTGACAATAGTTAACAGGACTAATATAGAGGGTGTTTTAGAATCATATGAAAATCAGTTACCTGCGACTGGGCTAAAGCACTAGCTCCCTTGCTTTCTTTGGATAAGAAAAAGCGGATAGACATCAAAAGTTCTTGAATAGAACACCTAAATTCCTCCTCATTCTGTCCTCCTGTTGCAAAAGCAAACAGCTTTCGAGACTGAACGATATATTTGAAGATGTATTCCTGGGCCTATGACAGAATTAAAATCGCTGTTATAATGGATATATATACTGAACGAACACACACACATACATACATTTCAAAAATTAAACCACACTAAGCAATGACAGTGTGGGGCTAGACTAGAAAAGCACACAATTGCTTTGAGTAGCTATTCCTAAGATCTGAACTACCTGGATTACTAAAATATAAAAATAGGCTGATTGCCAATTATGACTACATCAAAGTGAGGCAGCAGTAATCAGTAGCTGAAAGTTCAACCTGTGTGGAAATCAGTACAAGAACACGCCTGGCTTTTTTCTTTCATTACCTTTAATACCTCCTGGATATGCTCTTGTCTCTCAGCTTCAATTATTCGGTCCACATACCATTTCAGCACTTTTATGAGGTCTCTGAGAAGGCAAGAAGGCAATTTAGGATTTTAGTAAACAGAAAGTGCTTAATACAAAAAGGCAGTGTAAAAAGCAATGAAATGTTTTAAACGTGATAACCCACAATAATCAAAATTGGCCTTTTACCTGTTGAGAACAATTAGGACAATAACCTGTGCCTACTGACAGGTTGCTATAGATTAAATAAGCAATATAGATTTGAAGTAATTTTTAAAGCTGAATTCCTGGAATTTAGCCACTTTGTAGTCCAATTAGGTGCCTGTCTCTATTATTTACATCTATCAAGCTATATCAACCCGCCACTTTGCTGTCCAATCACATAAACCTTTGTATTTTGTGAATGTGTTCACATAATACAAAGTCTTCTCTGATTGGGCAGAAAGAGGGGAGTGGCAGGCACATCAACTGCAGCGACTCTCCTGGTTAAGATGCAGAGACCAGAAGGTCCAGCATCAGGTTCCCAAGTTACAGCGATAGCTGTCTTCCGGAAGTTCTATAAACCTGTCAAATGTGAATAATAGATATAAGTCCAGGAGGTGCCATGCGCCTCCTTGGGTTTAACTCATAGTGTGCATTCACATTTTACAGGGGAGCTAAATTCCTGGACTTCAGCTTTAAGTGTCATGGGCAATAGACCCAATGGAAAACAAACATGAGACACATCTTCTTAATACAAGATCAAAATAAATTCCATACCTATATGCAAGAGCACCAGAGAAATGCCCTTCTATGTAAGTGTCCATTACGGGCTTAAAGTGCTGAAATTTGCTGTCCTGTAGCAAGTTAATTATGTGTACCTAAGAACAAAAGTGACCATTAATCAACTAGAATGTTTAATAATACTAACCAGATCCAAAGAACTATCCACAACATTACATAATACAAAGCACAACCTTCAATGAAACGGAGCTTACAATATAACGCATATATCTCAGTTTAACAATGCAAGTATGCCTCGGTTAATTTAGATAGTAGTGAACAACCTGCCAATATGCTTTATGGGAGCCTTTGGACTAGCTAGCAATTTGAACATTTACTAAAATAATTCATGTATCTGCCAATATTTTTTGGGCTGGTGATGCTCTTGCAGCCAGCTTTACCTAACACTGCATTAGTAGAACAGCACCACTGCAGCAACACGGCAGTTAGGAGAACACCAAAAGCAAATTAACATTTCTACAGCCATTTTGTCCATGTTGTAGAAATTTCTCCCCATTCTTCATGTTTGTGGTTACAGCACCTGACTGGAAAAAAAGATAACATCTTGCAAACAGGACTACAGCAACAAAAATATGAAAATGGTAGTAACTATAACAGACTTTTCAAAACCTAAAAAAAAAAAAAACTCTAAAGTTTTAGACAGAGAAACATATTAACATTAGGACTATACGTGTTACATACACAGTGTAGTCTGCTGCTCCCTATATGCTGGGGTTTCAAGTTCCAGTATGCAACTGCTGTATGTTATAGCATGAATCCTGATGATGAGGAATCCCCTAGAAAACCTAAAGTGTCACTTCACTCTCTCAATCAACACTGACTATTTTTAATTCATATGCTGCTAGCATTGGTAAATAGATAGGAAAGTATATTATATTTACTCATTAAAAACTTTTCTTACATTTCTTAATCACTTCCCAACTGCGCTATAGCCAAAAGACAGCTACAGTGCAGTCAGCTAGTTCTGGGAGGGCATCCATGGAAAACTTTTTTTTTTTTCAAAGTTTTCAATCTTTTTTCATTTAACAAAAAATAAAAACCCCAGTGGTGAATAAATAACACCAAAATAAATCTCTATTTATCTAAAAAAAAAATAGTAAAAATCTAGTTTGGGTACAGTGTGGCATGACTGCATAATTGTCATTCAAAGTGCAACAGCGCTGAAAGCTGAAAATTGGTCTGAGCAGGAAGGGGGTAAAAGTGCCGGGTAGGAAAGTGGTTAAGTTACTTCCCGGTTTCCAGGCCTAGGCAAAAATAAGCCATACATCTCAGGAGTCTTCAGGAGGGGAGGAGGAGCTTTCTCAGCTAAGCACACGGTCCTGCCGACATGCCTGACCTATGAGCAGATGGATTCCAGGAAGTAAATGCTACATGAATCTGCAGAAATGCTAGAGGGTGTTTTCAAAGTGATTTCTCAGCAAAATAAATCATGGAGACATGGATAGATGGGTGTTTTTTTGCATATTAAAAATAAAATAGCATTTTTGGTTTGTGGTTTACAGATGCAGTGTAGATTCACTTTAATGGGAATATATAAACTTGAAACAGGAAGTACACTTAGGGGAATCAAAACCAAAGAAACTGGAAATGCAAGGCAACAATCACTGCATTTTTATGCTAAGCATATTATACAGAATTGTGTAAGACAAATCTGTGACACTTACCAAGCAATCGAATACCTTTGATGCATATTTCTGAGAACTTTCATTTAAAATACCAAATAAAGTGTCCAGTGTATCTTGAAGAAACTGTGAAAGAAAATCATTTAGATTTTAAAAAAAACTATGACCAAACTAGAGAACTAAGCAAAATTATTAAACGATGTTGCTTACCTTAACAATTTCTGAACCATCAATTTCCTTTAATTTGGACAAGCAGCCTGGGATTTTATCTGGATGCATTCGCCATTTCAGTAGATCCAACATATCCCCTAATCATTGACAAAAATACAATTTCAAAGAATTGTTTTAGATTTCCAATATGCTTTCTGTCCACTTATTTTATACTAGTAGGCCAATGTACTGTAGCTCAACATACCTTCAAGTAATGTTCTGAAAATGTTCCCAGTCTAATATGATAGGCATATTTTTTTTATCAATTTGTCTTTTATGCCACACTAGAGTCCATTCAAGTCATTTTAAAGGCTACTGTTACTAAAAGAGCACAGAGGTTGCCATAGCTAATGTGACAGACCCAATCGGGACAAGGGCTTTTGGAGGGGTCTATGGGCTAGCGCTAGCCTAATACCCACTGATTATGCCCCATGGAGGAGATTGGGGGTTTTTGTCTGCTTCTCCTGGTCAGAGCATGGAGGAGAGACGTGCCCTGAAACCTTTTGACTAGTCAGGAGTATGTACTTTACCTATCTAGGGCTCTGGAATGGTTTCTATGCATCCTGGATGGCACTCCCTGGCTAATCAAGACTTATTGTGAACATGTTTTCCAAGAATTCCTGTGACTACTAGCCAGACTGAGAAGACTTGTCTAGGTGTCTAACTGTTAATTAGATAAATGTTTAAAGGTTGCATCACCATGTTTTTACTGGTACCTCTTATCTATACTAATCTTATCTATGCTAATATCCTCAAAAGGGGAATGTCCTCCTGGGGTATAAAGTATGTGTCTGGGTTTTAGTACAGTTATTCCTTTGGTTTTACCTCAACATCTTGTCTGTGTATGAGGCTTGGGGTAAAGGACTGGTATTAGCCATCAGTCTGCTGGAAGGGTTTGGAAGGCAGGAGGTACAGGTTGGCTGAGGCACCCAGTCGGGGTGCCAGGCAGTCCATTACAGTGGTCCTCCTTTTGAACAAGCTAGCTGCCCGGCTATGTCTAGTTTAACTAGATTACAAGTCACTGATCCTGAAGAAGAATGTAGCAAGAAAATCTATTTTGAAGTCAAAACTCCTGATCTACATACATGAACCTGCTCAACTGCTTCCAAAGTACAGGGGGGACTGGATTAACACGACAGCTATGGAAACAGCATTTGCTGATGGAAATAGCATGATCCATAACTTCTCCTTAAAAAAAACAAGTTCCTCAAAAACATGCACACCTTTCGATCTAATGAGTCATCATTTTACATAGAATAATATACAATAGATGTTTTTGTATGGTATAAAGAATAATTTCACTGGACATAATCAACAACAATTTTCAGCTGTACATTATTAAGATTAATATGTATGAACACATTTTGGTGCTATTATTTCAAGCGGCAAACTGATGGATAATTTGAAATAACACTGCACAAATAAGCTTAAGACAAGTAATTATCTATATAAGTTTTCTCTTGCGTGGAAAACAGCCTCAGAGTCTAGTCCTGAATGGAGCTGATATCATTCCCAGACTCCAGTTCAGGTATTGCACCTAGCTGAGAGTGCACAGGTGCTTGATAAAGAATGAGTAAGAGAAAGCCAGACTATCCATATGGCTGAAAACATAAAAGTAACAAGGCACTCTAAGGCTGGCCATACATTATACAATTATCTGCAGATTTTTGGTTTAGATTTACCAAAAACCATATAATAGGAGGACAAACCTAAACAACACTTTCAGTTGTATCCAATTAGGCAGGCCCTTGCACTACATAGTTGAAGGTAAATCTAAAGGAAATTGGGCAGAAAATCTGCAGATAATTGTATAATGTATGGCCAGCCTTAGGCTAGGTTTACGCTGTTGCAAGACAGCATGTAAATCGCATGTTACCTGCACCTGCAGCAAAAACACACTGCTAATTTGCAGATGTGCATTTTCGGGTGCGCCCTGTGATTTCTTTGAAGCTGTAATTTTAAAGAAGGTGCCAGGAACTTTTTCTTGCATTTTCCTGCAGGTACAGCAGCCCATTCCAATGAATGAGCTGTTGTGCCCCTACAAACATGAACTGTAAAAAATGCAACAGAGTGTATCTAGCCTACCTGGATTAGTTGTGAGAGTGAGCATGCACTTTTGTGGATACAAAATCCCATAAATGGGCAATGTCTGTGGACTGTGCCAAGATCTTTATCTCTTGAATTTGCTATTTTAATCTAAACTCATACTTTTTTAATAAAAATTCAATTGTGCATTTAAGTTGCCATACAAGGCCTCATCAAAGACTGGTAAATTTGATGAATGTTTGTACACAGATTTTCTGATATTTTTTCACGGGTCACTGATCACCAATTCTATGGCCAATTCTCATGCAATGTACATCTAGGGCTGCAAAGATAATGGTAGTTCTTAGCAGAAAATGATTCAAGCAAGGATGGGTACAGATCTTTTATCAGCAATAGTTGTCTTAGAAACATCAGGCTACAAATCACCTTTAGTCAAAAATTAATAGCAGCAATGAGAATTTTAATTGGAAATAACTCTGAAGTGTTCCTTTATTTAATGACTATACAGTTTTCTCATTTAAAATCTAAAGATTAAAAAAAGGTTGCACTTAGCGCTAACTAGTTTAGAATGGGTAATTGCAAGTTAATAGTACAGAATACATGTATAAATATACTAACTTTAGACAAATCCATTTGGCAATGTCGTGTAAAATCAATACTGGTGATTAAATCAAACCAAATAGGTTTCCAATATACTATCTGACCTATGAAAAATTATGTAAAGCTTACACTGTTAAAATGAAAATCAATGCTAATAATTAGACATGCTCTAAAAACGATCAAATCCAATATGTGCAGTTTTAAAAGAACACGAAAGAAAACATTCTAACCGTAGGCTATGTCTGCATTCTGTTTTGGTATAGTGATAGTGTTGGAATGTTAGGACTATGCTTCATAGGTTGGAAGGACAGGAGGGGGAAGTCTTACCCTCTCACATATGTCCATTATTAGTCACAACTAAGCAATATGAAAATTAAAAAGCTAAAAATACAATCTAGGACAACCCTGAAGGACTATACAGGGTAGCTCTTGATCTGTGTAACCCTGTATAAAGCATTTGTAAAATAAAAGTAACAATATGTTCCTAAAGAAAATGCATATCTGCAAAGAATAATAATTTATACCAGTGGTTTTCAACTTATGAAACAAGAGGGGGGGGGGGGGCAAATGTGGTCTCTATCACCACCAAAGGGCCACTCATAATGTTTATTATACAGTATGTAATGCTTGAAAGGATTCTCAAAAAGTGCAGACCTATTAGAGGACATGAAGGCAGAGTGTGGACATGCTACATTTTTTGCTGGGGATATTCTGCAAAAGACAATACAAAACTGGGAACATGTTACATGAGGCTAGTAGAAATTAATGCTATTACCCTAATCAATGTCCCCACGAAAGACTGCCAAGGTCTGAGGGTCGCACATCATGTACCAAAGGGCCACAGGATGGGCACCAGGGATTTATACTATTCAAAAGAACTTGTATTAATACCAACTTAATTTTAAGACTACGCACTCATCCCTACAGTTCGGTCCATTATTCATGGGGGAAACACAATGAATCCAAAATACATATATCAATTTTATGGGCAATAGTCACAAATGTTTCCCAAGTTAAAGATACAAAACACAGTTTCAGAAAAAGTAGAGATCTGTACACATGTATGATGATTAAAATTACAGCTAGCCATGGGCAGATCTAGAACAAGTATTTGAGGAAAGAAAACCCAAGAAGTAGTTGGAGAAAAAAGCACAAGTACAAGTAATTGGGGAAAAAAAGTAGAAGTTACTGTATGACATAAAACATTTTCTAAGAAACTTCGAGCAGAGTGTAAAATGTGTACCAGTCAGGGTGGATTTGATTTAAATCAAGTGGATTCAAATTATGACTTAAATCACTAGTAAAAAGGCTCGATTTAAATAATAGTTTAACTCCTTCACGCCGGCGCCTCCCGGCCCTTTAAGTTTCAGAAGCCGGGACGGGAAGGGTGAGGTTTAGGGGAACCTGTTGTCACGGCGGTCACATGATCGGGAAAGGTCCCAATCGAAAGAGGAGACCGGGACCTTTCCGTGAGTACCGGACATGTGTGCTGGGAGCACGCAAGACACGCGCTCTCAGCACGTTTTCTTTTTTATAGAACGCAAATGTGCGGCCACTCGGCGTCTAGGCCCAGACGCCAGGAGGCCACATATTTGTGTGCGGCCGGCGTGAAGAGGTTAAACATCAACTGTAATTTCTGTCCTGCAACGACTCCTCTTCTGACCCTCTTTTGACTCACCAACAGTCCCATTCACTTTAATGGGACAGCTGGTGCTACAGCAGTGACACAGTAAGGTGAAGGACATGGCGGCAGCAGGTGAGTGGATGCCGCTAACAGACGCTGCCATGATGGATCTAAAATGACAGGTGGTCTTTAAATGTAAGGAATCCGACTCATTCTTGCTGGTAGTTATAATCTTTAATATTTGCAAACAAAATGAAGGTTTCCTTTTTAGAATAATAAGTAGAGATGAGCGAATCGAACATGGCGAAGTGGAATTCGTTTCGAATATCAGGAAAAATTCGATTCGCGCCGAATCCGAAAATTAGCAAACTTCGGATGCACGAATCGAATTTTCCCAAAAATGGCGGCGACATGTGTGGCGACGGAGCGGGGATCTCTGGGAAGGCGCGCAGACAAGGCGCGCTGACCCATAATGCATTCATTCATGACATGTGATCGCATTAGCCAATCAGCAGCCAGCCAGCCAGCACTGTGTAATGGTGGAGCTATAAATTGCGGCCATCTTACAATTCTCCATTAGCCTCCGGTCATTCAAGAGAGACAGACCTGTCTGTATTAGGGACAGAGTTAGGGCCAGAGAGACTTTAGGGCCACAGAATCGTTACTCAGGTTACTCAGGGACACAGAATTGTTACTCAGGGACAGACACAGAATTGTTACTCAGGGACAGACACAGAATTGTTACTCGGGGACACAGAATCGTTACTGAGGGACACAGAATCGTTACTGAGGGACACAGAATTGTTACTCAGGGACACAGAATTGTTA